GGCAGCGGGAGCACCGAGCCCCTCCACACCCGCACAAGGCACTCGGCAGCACCGGCCCCGCGGCTCCCGGGCTGGCTCAGATGGGGCCGSGGGGCCCAGCCCACAGCCCTTGTCACTCTCTACTTTCCTTGTGTTGCCTTGAGAACCTACATGCAGGTGTCACTCCAAGCAGCRGCTTCCAGCCTCTGTAAGCAGCTGGAGCCAGCAGTGAAGAGGCAYCTGCAGAGAATGGCAGCTGCTGATAGAGCAGAGGGCACGAAGGAGCTAACRAAACCATGAGCAGCATTAGCTGACCCCTCCCCAAAGACCTTTGCACCAGTCAGGACAAAAAGGGGACCTACATCTCTCCACACACTGCCTTCCTACCAATASGGAGCCTGGGTTTCTGAACGCCKCCAGGTCTGCAGGTGAGAAAGGACKAGAGCAGCAGCTCCAGCGGTGCCAAGCTGCTCCCAGGCCCTGCTGGCACTCTTCACGGCCTGGGACGGAGGGCGGATCATGCCCACATGGCAGATCTTGTAGTTCTTCCCATGGTTGTTGTCCCAGTGGGTCTTTTGCCCACATTGGAAGGAGATGCAGAACTCTGTGGCCCTACGGGAGATGGATGGCTTGGGCAGGGTAAGCTCAAAAGAGAAGATATCTGTGTCAGCTGAGCCATACGTGCTGTGCATGTACTGGCAGGAGATGTCCCGSAAGCTCTTCCAGCCGTCGAAGGTGATGCGGACTGTCACTTTCTTCTCGTACTCAATGTTTCTAACCTTCACTGTGCCTGACAGCACACGGTCCTGGATCAGACAGCTCTCCAGGCAGACAAAGTTGCTGTGTAGGCTTTTGCGGAAAGCCACATAGTCTGCAGATGGCTGTGGGAAGTCCAGCACATACCTGCCCACTTCTGGGCACGAGTCCCACAGCCTAGGTCGCAAACAGGCAAGATCGGACAGGGCATGCTGCAAATCACAGAGGTCCTCCTCAATCTTTGAGAAGAAGCGGACAGCTGTCAGTGAGAGCCCCTTCATATCAGCAAACACAACCCGCTTCTTCTTCTGGCCCTTGGAGCTCTTGGTACTGTCTCTCCATTCCGGCTCAGGGTCTGTGCTCAGCTTCTGGTTGAGACAAGATCGAAGGGGTTTGCGGCCTCGGTTGCCCCGCAGCTCCTCGTAGGAGTGCAGCAGCTTGCGGATGGGGGGCGAGTGGCTCAGGCAGAGCCGCACGGCCAGGTCCACGGGCATGGCTGGGGGCGCGACAGCCGGCCCGCTGCACACCTGGAAAAGCCTAGAGGCGAAAAGGGGGTCAGGCAGAGCGGCCCCAGCCCCGGCGAGCCCCCGGCCCCACCCGCCCCGGCCCCGCTCACTCGCCGCAGCTCATCCCGTCCCGTCCCGTCCCGTCCGCTCCGCTCCCGCCGCGGCGGCTCCACCTCAATGGAGCCGTGGGAGCGCCCGCGGCCGCCACGGCCCGCATCAGCCAATCAGAGCCGCCGGCACGGCCCGCGCCAGCCAATCAGAGCCGCCGGCACGGCCCGCGCCAGCCAATCAGGGCCGCCGGCACGGCCCGCGCCAGCCAATCAGGGCCGCCGGCACGGCCCGCACCAGCCAATCAGAGCCGCCGCCGCACCCCCGCGAGCCACGCGCCACGCCCCCCCCGCGCGACCGCGCTGGGACCGGGCCGGGACAGCCCGGGACAGACCGGAGAGTGAACCGGGACAGCCCGGGACAGCCCGGGACAGCCCGGGACAGACCGGAGAGTGAACCGGGACAGACCGGAGAGTGAACCGGGACAGCCCGGGACAGAGCGGGACAGACCGGAGAGCCACCGGTACCGGCCCCACTCGGGAACAGGGCACAGCGCAGCCTTCTGCTGCATCAGGCACGGGCCAACAGCACAGAAGTGGCTCCTGGTGCCAGAAAAACACGAGTGCTTTGGAAGGACCAATGTCTGTAGAACTATCGACACCAGGAGGGAGCTCTGGGGGAAAGAGGAGTATGTTCCTCTCACACAGTCTTTAAAGGGAACGGCTTGGACTGGTTTGATACATCCCTTTTCAGGTGCTTCTCCAAAGACAGCTATTTCCAGAGTGTCTTAAGCAGAGAAAATCCCAGACCCTTAGCTCATTAGCTACCAACTCACAAACTTCTTACCCTAGATGTGTGTGCACTGAGAAGGAAATTTGCACACACCCAAGCAGGCAAGAGACACTGTGGTGTCCCT